GCCCAATGTGTGGCCAAGAGTGCCAGGGTCCCCAAGGAGTTCACAGAAGCACAAAGGTGCTGCTCGCTCCTCCGCTATGCAGGCAGTCCCATGTGCATCGGCAGCGCCCAGGGCACCAGTATGAACCCCCGATTCTCAGACAGTCCCGACGGGGCCACTGACTTCCCAGGCACCTGTGTCACCTCCCGCAGGATGACAGGGCAGCGGGGTGGGGCAGGGGTAAGGAATGGCCACACACCAGGCTTGTCCCTCTCTGCAGCCACCTGGACCAAAGGGCCAGCTGCATCAGAGAATGCCCAGAATCTCCGAGATGCTCACAGGTACCCAGGCTGGCTGGGCAACACCACCGCACTGGGCTGGCTCCCGTTGGGTGTTTGTCAAAGCGTGAAGCGGTGCCGCGCCCTCGCCACACTGTGTGGGAAACCACGCTTGGCTTCCACGGGCCTGTGGATTCCACGGGCCTGTGGTTTCCACAGATGTGCAACAGGGTCATGACGGCAACGTTTAAAAGACGACTTTATGTAGACAGGCACCTCATAAAAGCCTGTCTCTGAGCTGCTTGGTCGTTTGTCCAAGTCAGCCAGGGGTCTGGGGCCAACACACCCGAGAGTGGCTGACTGCTGCCCCATGAAGGTGGCACAGGCCAGGCCGGGCCCTTCCACCGTCCCTGCCAAGTTCCAGCTCACATAGGTGCACTTGTCACTGGGAATCTTAGCCGTCCCGACACCTGGAGGCCACCTGAGTACCTGGGAGATGAAGTCCTTGTCCAGCTCCTCCTCGGGCTTCGCAGGGCCTCCGGCCGCCGCCTCACGCCCCTCCCGGACACCGTAGTTTTGCGACAGGATCTCCGAGAGGCTGAATTGGTGGTTGGCAGAGCCCATGGACACAGCTGCAAGGGAGCCTGCATGAGGCCCTCGCCCACCTGTGCCGCCCCCACCCCTGCCTTAGAGGGTGTGCCGCTGGAGGCCAAGTGGAAGGGGCTCTGGTATCCTGAGTCCAGGGCCAGGGAGTAGACAGCTCAGGGAAGGTGCAGGGCACCCCCAAGTCCCTGCCAGTGAGGCACACCCCTCATGCCCACTCCCGTCCTGTTCAGGTGAGCGGTCCTCTGCTGGGGGTCTGGAGCACTCAGGAAAATAGTCCTGACCCCAGCCTGCACAACCCCCACCCCATGACCTGTGACCCTAGATTATGCCAGCCTGGACTGAGTGTCCGTGCCAACAGGGGAAGGGCCCTGGTGCCTCTGTGGGTGGGAGCTGACAAAGGTACCTGCTGCCGTCTGCAGGCCGGACTCCACGGGACACAGGCTGAGGCTGAGCCCAGTTACACGAGGGCCTTGCCGTCCCAACGAGGGGGCCTGCAGAAAAGAGGACAGGGGTCAGGAGAGGGCTGGACTTGGGAAGGCCCCAGGTGCTACTCCAGGAGACTCGCTCCCGGCCATCATTAGTTGAGGAAACCCAGGACACGGCTGTGGTCCCAGGCAACCACTAGCGCAGCCAGCCAGCCAGCACTTGGGGGAACACCAGTAAGGAGCCGTTGCAGCAATTCTAGCCTCGGCCACTAAGTGGCAGCACCACCTGAGCGGCCGTGCCTATGAACCACCCAGCTGAGCCCTGCCCACATTCGCAAGCACGGATGATAATTCCATGAGTGTTTTACATGAGAATTGCCCGAGTCTTGTCCACCCTCGGAACCACAGAAGGTCACACAACCACCGTGGGTATTTTCAGCCACTTGAGTTCTGAGGGGACTCCCTGTCCAGGAACAGACAGAACTCGAGCACCCTTCTCCCAAGAATCACCCTTGGCCTTCCTCCCTCTGATGTGCACAGCGTCCCAGCCTCACAGGTGAGGAGGCAGCAAGCACCTGTGCCTGGCCACCACCCTGACAAACAGGTCCCACTTGTCTCCGCCCACATGGGGTCACTAGTTACCCAAGGACACAGGGAACAAACAAGTGTCTGGTTACAGTAGAGGGAATGGGGAGGGGACCAACTCAGCAGGGGGCAATGGGGAAGTTCCTGTGTCACTCCTGGGTGGGGTCTGTCCTCAAGGGCCTAGAGGACCAAGGAAGCCTACCAGGTGGCACCACAGGCTAGGCACCATGGGGAAGAGCTGCATTTTAACTGGCGGAGGATGACAAGACACCAAAAGGCCAGAGATGACGGTTTCTAAAAGACTCGTCTCGTTTCCGGAGAGGGGCGGGGGCAGGGCAGGAAAAAGCACCCCCACATTCTCTCCTGGCCCCTCAGGCTACTTTCCTGGTGACAACTAGCAACTAGGCGGCCTCACAGATCCAGGCTGTTAGGCTACAAAACGCCATTTCTACTGCTGAAAAAAGAGGTGAACACCAGTGATTCCCTTTAGTTCAACACACGGGAAAGCTACCACACCAGGCTCCGGAGGGTCTCCTGTTCATGCCCACCTTTGAGCTGTGAAAACGGAGACTCAGAGATGGTCGGTGGCTGGCCTGAGGCCACCAGGGAGGCTGGCCGCTCAGGGCCAGTTGGCCTCTTCGTTGACCAGTGTCTCTGCCCAGAGCCAGACTCGTGGGCCCTTGGGACCGCTTGTCTGTCTTGTGCACTGCAGCCCCTTGGAGACTGACACTAGGAGCCTCACAGACACGTGTCCTAATCCTTTAAGACGCTGACCAGGTCACTGACCGGGCAGCACCCTCACAGTGGGGCAGATGCAGTACTGGCACCTGGCTGCCAGGGCAAATCTGACCAAGCATCCCAAAGGCCATTTTATTGCCGGAGAACACCGTGCAGTGGCAGGCACACACACAAACTCTCTCTCTCCCTGCGTCAAGATTGCCTACTTGGAAGTCAGCCCTCAAAGTTAGCCACCACTCCCCTTGAGCCCTCAGTTTCCCTAAATGGCCCCTAGGAAGGGAGAACTCTGGGTACAGTTAACAAGGCAGGCACGCTCTCCTCTGGGGCAAATGCAGAAGCTACTAGTGGAAGAGAACAGTCCATGACCCCAGCTCCACAAGCTTCCCGGGTGCACGGCAGGCCTCCCCTGCCCACTATATGAGGACCACTTTGTGCACCTGTTGGTCAGCCTGTCTCGAAGCCCAGAGAGGGGGACACACAGTCCAGCTGGGTCCAATCCAGCCAAGAGAGTCACACTGAAGGGCCCTATCGCCCAGGAGGAGGATGCGGGGCGGCCTGGTGGGCTTCGTGCTGAATGGCCATCCACAAGGTCAACAATTTGAACCCAACATCTGCTCCTCAGAAGATGAGGCGGTCTGCTCCCCCAAAGACTCACAAGCTTGGACACCCTGCCGAGGCGGCGGCGGCGCAATTCCATTCGGCCCTAAAGGGTTTCTATGAGCGGGGGTGTCTCACCTCCGAGGGGGCCACTGGAGGCCCACGCCGCCCCTCAAAACCCGAAAAGCTCTGGAACCCAAACTTTCTCGCTGTGGTCTTTCGTTATCCCGGGCAGTCTGCCCTGCACGCCTTCGGTCCTCGGGAGGGTGCCAGGCAGGCGGCACAGCCCAAGCCCCGGTGGGGCACGGGCCCGGGGCCTCCGCCCAGGGCGCGGGACCAGAGGCTCAGAAGTAACTTCCCGGGGGCAGGCGCTGGGCTTGCGCTTGGCGGCGCGCGGCGCGAGGTTCGGGTCCCGCCCGGGGCCTCGTCGGGAGGGCGGCTCCGCGAAGCTCCGCACCGAGCAGGCCGAGCGCTGCGGTCCCCTGGGACTCCGGGGGCGCAGGGTCCTCCCGCAGCGCGACCCCGGCACTCTGCAAAGT